TATGACTGGACCGGAAGGTATGAAGCTGCCGTGACCAATTTAAAAGCTCTTTTTACTTGCCTGCGCCACAGACTTTATGGAGTTTCAAGTGCTCTATATTTTAAGTAAAAAGCCCCCAGTCAAGGCAAATTTCTCAGCCCTCTGTAATAAACAGTCTACATATATAAAATTGAGTTTTAAAATAAGTTTTTAATCACGGGTTTGAAAAGTGTACAACCTTATAACATCAAGGATGGGAGCAGAGGAGACATCAATATGTTAAAATATTATAATAATAGTTATTTTAATATTCAAACTTAAGAGGATACGAAGAACTTACTGAACAAACGTTGGTTGGTTCCAGTGGGAAATCAAGAAAAAGATGGAGACAGGGCTCAGGGTTTTGAAAATATTACAAGATGGCTTTAAATTGTGCCGTGTTGCTCTCCATCTGGATTGGAGACAAAAGGCTCTGACACTGACTTGGAAGACTGGGCCTTACTTGTTTAGACGTGTGCGCACATTTTCTTTTACTATCTAGTCTCTGTGTAAATGACAGATGACGTTGCTGTAGAAATGTAGTAAACCCGTGACAATTTATTACTGATTTAAAAAATAGACATTTAAAAAAAATCTCAGGTCTCTTCACTTCTCCTTTCTTTAATGAAAATGATGCAAGTATCTGACACCAAATCCTGATAAAGTTAACATGCTTCTCTGCCGTGTTCCACATCAGGCTTCATGTTTCCTATTTCAAAGTGAACATGTGGTTTCTTTTTTCAGCTCTTGCATGAAGGAAGCTTAAGCTCTCCCTCTACAGAGATATGAAGATGATATTTCTTATGTAGTCAATTCCAGCTGTGGGCCAGAAGGATTTGAAAGCATAGTATAGGACACCTATGCAATATAGCTGAATTATCATGAATGCTCAAAAACCAGAGGTGGTAGAATATTCTGTAAGGAGAACTAGCTCTGCAGAAAGCTCTGGACTCCACTATATTACAAAAGTTATGAATGTGACCTCGGACAAATGCCCTGGCCTTTCCAGGCCTCAGTTTCTGCTTCTGCAAAAGCAGATAATCTGGTAACTACCATGCAGGGTCATTGTGAGGAGTAAGGGAAATGCTGTACGTCATGTTCTTGGCATGGCAGCTAGTACACCATGAGTGTCCCCTGTTAGCTATTCATTCCAATTCTTATCAGAAGGAATGGACCAGTAAGGACTAGAAATGTGGTCAGATAAATCATGCTCTGCACTGCCTTCCCTTCATACCCACCCTATGCCCATGAACTCGGTAATGACTCAGCCTTGGCATAGTCTCTGCCACGTGGCATATGAACTTTTTGCTTATACAACAGAAACTTATACAGCTGCCCTTCCCCCACACTTTTCTCAGTGTCTGAGGTTAAGAGCCCTAGAAATACCAGTTTCCAACTCCTCAAGCACAAAGTGAAAATTCAAAGTCATAGATCTGACTGGGGAGAGGAACTGATCTTCATTCACTTAGATCCATATTGAGATTAGTTCGAATTTGTTGTTCACATAGCTTCTGGTGGGAAAAGAAAGTTGGATGCCAGGAAAAAAGTTATTTGCAGGTTTAAACATGGCCACAGGTAAGTCACTAAGCAGGCAATAGACAAAACAGAACAACTACAGTATATGTAAATTCTGAAGTATTATCTTATAGTAAATCATGGGGTTAGCTCAAGTCACAGAAGCACCCGGTGGAGACATTTACTATTGAAAAACCCAGAGTAGAGGAACATTTGAAATACAGCTATTGGCTTGAGCCAAGGAGAGTATCTGTTCTCTGAAAAGGAGTGCTCAAATTGAAGTAGCACGTATTTCAGAAAGATGTGGGATGACGCACTTGATGGCAAGGGCTCTTGTTGGCACACTGCAACTGTTGTGTGGTGTCCCCAGGCACACAGAAGCAGCCAACTGAAGCTTACTCCAGGGGAGTTTTGATTTAAAAAAAAAAAAAAGCCAGTATTGAACAGTGTCTGAAATACCTTTCAGTGGCAGATATATTAGCGAAGAGGTTTCATTAAAATGAAGTCCATCTGTGAGTGGTCCATTGCCTATGTGCTTTATATATCAATTAGCTCTTAATATCTAAAAAAACCTAAGGATTCACCAAGGGCCAGAGCACTATCTAATATTTGGGTGAGAACTTAAAAAAGCCACAAAAATGTCATGGTTTTGCAGTCACTCTCAAACTTAGGATTCTAATGAGTTCAGCAGGTATGGAGACTTTTAATCAAGCTCTGCTCACACAGAATCCCCAAAACAACTTTCCATGACAGTGGTACTAAGGCCCACAGGAAGCAAGCTTGCTTATTTACTGTGGAGGAGAAATTATTTCCATTTGTAAACATACAGCATGAGGCAAAATGTGAGGGTCCTCTCTCTGCAAGGGAGAGTTCTCCAGCAGGGACTGAATTTGTAGTGTCGTGTGGACTGGTTACTGCTGCTTATGGTGGTTTATTTGACCATGTGGACTGTTGTGGCCACACATGCAGACAGGAGACAAAATGAAGAGCACCAACCTCCAGTGTTAACTGCGACATTATATCAACTTTTCTCTTTTGATTCTGAATAAATGAATAGGGAAGAAAAAAGCAACAGAGTCCACTTCTAATTGCAAGAGAAGGCTCACTTCACCTCCTAGCACCCCTACTACACATGAGGAGTTATGTAACCAGGGTAAGGTATTTAACAATAATTACACTAATAGTAGCTCCCAGTCAGGGAGAAATGTGTTGTGGGTGCTCAACTATTTTGTATATTTTAATCCTTATGCTTAAATTTCCTCATCTATAACCTAAGGACAGCAATGCACCTATTTCATTTGCAAATTGAGGCAGCAGGGTCAAATAGTTTCAAACAGATAGACCTAGATTAAAATGTCAGCTCCAAATTCTACTATCTGACCTCGTTCATCTTCAATCTCCTCATCTCTGATGTGGAGATGAAGCTACCTACCTCAAAGGTCTTTGGTGAGGAGCTGAGGGAGACAGTAAGTCAAACACCAGCTGGTGTCTGTATCACTAGAGGGGCCCAATAAACATCTATATGTTGGCCTGCACCAGAAGCTATTTGATGGATACAGTACCAAAAGATGCATTTTATTTCATGACAACAATACTACCCAGATCTAGCTTAATAGGCCAGACACTGGTTCAGTAGCTTCAAATCTATGAACTCAATTAATCCTCACCACTGTTCATCCCATTTTACAGATGGAGACATTGAGGCAAAGAGATTAGGTAACTTCCCCACATTCAAACAGATGGTACCAGACTCAGGAGGATGATATTCTCCTAACCACAAAGCAATAGAGCTTACGGGGCCAGGTGTTAGAGAGCCCATGCTGCAAAGGAATCTCTGCTAGAGATAAGCAGTGGATGGCTGCTCTCACAAACTGCAATGTGCTAAGTTTTCAATTTCTGCAATAACATTTTTCGTATTTTCTTAGAATTACATTTTAAATAAGGCATGCATCTTGTTTCACTTGCTAACACCAGAATCAAGTTCACTTCTCCCTAAAGATTACCTAAATAAATCTTAACATAAATACACACTCCTAAATTTGGGCTTAAACAGTTATTTCAAGTCCAATTTTATTCATGTATAATTTTTCCTCCCCATATATGGCATTTTAAGGTGATCTATTTTGTCAGCCTAATGACTTCTATGCCAAATACTTCAAACATTCCCCTTATTTTTAATATTCATTGTCTATCAGTCAGACAGTGGCGCTATATGGTATTTCAAAGTATTCCTGTTACAAATTTAATCAACTCCAGTATTAAACATCAATGATGATAATCTATTGCTCTGCCTGAAAGGAATCTCTAGGGGACAGCTGAGAAAGGTTAAAGATTTCTATCCTTCAGAGTAGGACACTGCAGCTACCTATAAATCATGCTCTTTGTTTATTAGGATAATTAAGCCGATCAGTTCACTTAACTTCCAGACTCAACAAATGTCTGGGATGAACAATTTCCACTTTTTCTAAAACAAAGGGGATATGTTCAAAAAGGGGTCCTCTGCATGCTTTCTGCACAATGCATGCTATTTAAAAACATGATTTATGTGTCTAATTCCTAGGCCTTGAAAAATATACTGGGCTCTTCCTCCCCTGTTCCCTATTAGGAGGAGACACTCCAATCTGAAGAGTGCACTCTGTTTCTGACTACAGGCCGCTATATCATGTCAGCATTTTCATTAAATACTGTTCAAGCTGGACTTTAAACAAACGGAATGGAGGGCCACAGCTGCAGCCACTGCAGAGACAAAGTTATCCAGCCAGGAGGGAGGCTTACATAAGAAGGTCAGGATGATCAGGATGAAACCCAAACACCATCAACTGAATTCTATTTCTGAGACTTGCTCACATTCTTAAAGTGCGTGAAATCGCGTGCACTGAGCGTTTTTTACATTTTATATGCCTTCGAGTACAAAACACTGGGTTGACATATAAGTTGTTTTTTTCCCTAAAGAAGGAGGCTCCAATTACGGGAACACTGGCAACTTCTGCCTAGGGGAAGAGTAAAAGTAGGATGCGCGGGAAGCCTGCAGGCCTGAGAAGGAAAGGTTTAGCTTCCTTTCCTAAAGATGCATAGCAGTGCTGGTCATCCAAAAGTACTACAGGAAGAGTACCCAGGCTGAGGACTTGGCACAGAGGTGACAACACCCTGGCTCCACTGCCCCCAACACTCATGCAGGCGCGGAGTCGAGGAGCTCAGTGAGTGCAGTGAGCAGCAGGCGACAAGCCCTCGGATCACCTGTCCTCCCCCGGCACATTTCCAACTGGCACAGTCAGGGCTGGAGCCCGGCAGCTTGGACTCCAGCCTCCTCTCGCGCGCCGTGCCCCTCCTCATGTTGCTCACCTCCTCCAAACTGCAGCCCCGCTAACCATAGATGCCACCTCCCGGTTCCTACAACACAGAGATAGTAAAAACGAACCTCCCCTCCCTACAGCTCCCTCCAACTTCGGAAACTACAGACAACTCACCCGGACGCAGGTGGCACGGTCTTGTTGGGGGGCTGCGCTCCGTGGCAGCCCCTGCAAACTCTGGCTGCGCGCACCGCTGGTCCCGCAGTGGACCCGGCGCGGCTGCTCTGCACCAAGGGCCACAGCTCTGCGTGCCCGGCCCGGCACTCACTCTCTGGGCGCACCGGCGGCGGGAGCGACTAAACTGCACCCGGCCGCGGACCCGGGCGCTGCAGCTACCGCGAGCTCTGTAACGCTGCGCTCCGAGCTCCTGGCGCGTGCCTCAGGCTCCCAGGAAATCGCCGCTCAACTAGAAACCCCGCAGAAGAGCCGCGGTGCCACCTCCCGGAGAGCTGCCAGCCCGCCCCCATAGGGTCGGTCACATCGCGGGCGCGTGCACTAGCCAGCTGGCGGGCGGGCTCCGCAGTCAGCACTCGCAGCCGCGCCGCGGTGAATGACAGGCGCCGAGGCGGAGTAGCCGCGCGGGGCGCTGGGCTCGAGGGGTGAGTGCGCATGTGCGCGGCCCGCTGCGGCAAGTCACGGGGGTGGGCGATGAGGGAGGGCCGTGAGGGGCAGAGCCCGGCGGGGCCGTGGCTGCTGATCTGCGGTTCGTGCTGCCTGTCTGCTGGAAGGTGCAGGAAGTCTGTTGTCTTGGGTTTTGTAAACGTAAAGCTCTGCGGTTGAACTTGTTTGTCTCTGGAACCCATTGTCCCTTAAAAAGCACTGTTTATCTAAGCAGTCTTCAAGGTCCGAGCCCACGAGGCTCATTTAAATCAGGTTTTTGCTTAACCTTGGGCTGCAGTTGGGGTGGTGGTGGTGGTGGTGGGGGGATGGTCCTTCACCTTGGCTGTATTGTACATTAAGATAACTTGGGAAGCTTCTAAGAGCCCTTTGCCCCGGCCACACCCCCAGAATAAACAGAATCTCTAGGTGGGGCCCAGGTCTGTAGTCTGAAGATTTTCCGAAGCTTCCCCAGGGCAAAGCAATGCTTCTCCAGCCTTTGGTATGTGGCAGAATCGCTAAAATGCAGATTCAGATTCAGCGGGTCTAGAAGGATGGGGAGGAGGTGTCTTTATTTTAACAAGCTCCAAACGAAGATCCAGGTCCAGACCACCCTGCCCTCACTACTCAAAGAGTGGAGTGGAACCTAGAGTAGAGCTTCTGAAATGTTGGTCTGCCTGAGAATCACTCCAGTGTTTTTAAAAATACAGAGCAAATCCCCAGGCCCTGTCCACAGTGGTTATGGTTCAACTCCTGAACAAATGTGGGACTCTGGAATCCCATGTATAACAAGCACTCCAGATACCTGAGAGGGGTTTTGGATTCAAGTTATTACACCAGCAGCCTGTAGTTGGGAATAGACTTGTGACAAAGAGCCAAGCTGTGTTTTGTCTGAATGTCCAGTTTTTCTACAAGAATTGCTCAGCTTTCCTTAGCAGGAAAAAAGGTACAAATTATATAGAACATGTGCATGTACACTCTCTTGAACAGTTGTTATATATATCGTTTTAAAATGTTGGCCGGGAAGAGGCTCATGATAAAGAGCAGGGGGCAAAGTGACAGAGTAAGAGATGCTCATGTGTGCAGAACAGGGTGTACGAGGAGGAAACAAACCTTGGACTCAACCTTGAGCTTGCAGAAGTGCTTTGGGGACATAAACCCAGGCCCAGGCTTGGCTTCCTGCTTCTGAAGATGGCATGAAATTCAGGTGTTAAAAGGGATATGGAAGTATGGATTTCACTGTGTTGTTTCATTGAATTTCACAGTGGCCTCTTAAATTAGATTTAAAAGATAGGGTGCCCATTTTACACATTATAAGGACACTTTGCATCCTTTACTTATTTGGATCCATTAATTGGTTTTTCTAGTAGAAGCCTGGATCTAAGTCTACAGTGTGACTTTTGTAACCAACGAAAAAGATCCTGGTCTTATAAGGAAAGTGGTTTCTGTAGTTATTTTATTTTATGATGTCTTTATTCAGATTTTCAAAGTCTGTATCTAAATTCAGGCTTCCGTTTTTGTAGAATGGAAATGCAGTTTGTGTCTTCATCTAATTTTGCACTTCCACATACTGTAGTAGGATTGTTAAGTCATTCCCGGGACATCTTAGCCCCAGGACGTTGCAGTGACACAGTGCAGGTCTCAAGAAAGACCTTGAAGGGCAGCACCAGCATTTTCTGGCAACAAGTGTAATTGCCATCCTAATTTTACCCAGGCCAGAAACCAGGTGGTTTAGCCAGAATCACTGATACCAGCAGGGCCAGTCTCAAGACTCTGTCTCTTTCGTCTCTTCTCTTTGCCAAGTGATAACCTGAAGATAAGTTTTCATTTCCAAATTGTTGACACCAAGATTTGCCGTCAGTAAAATTAGAACCCAAATGTACCTTGAATCCAGTTCTTGTGGTGAAGATAAATCCTGTGAACTATACTCCTAGTTGAAGTAAAATTTCGGAGGCAAGCAGGTAATAGTTATATGTACTCTCCCAATCCACAGATTGGCCTGGAATTGCTATATTGCCAACTATACCCTGCCTACCTTTATCCTTACTGCCCATGTAACTCATCCATTAGAGCCATTCTTTTGCTTATGAAATAAAAAACAAATAAGTTCCTAAGACAGTGTAGCAGCTGCTACCTCATAGGTTGTAGGACATAGTTCAGTTTTTAATAAGAAAATATTTAAAATTTTAATAATAGGGGCTTGGGATATAGCTTAGACATAGAGTGCTTGCCTCGCATGCTTGAGACCCTGGGTTCAATCTCTAGTACAGCAAGAAGAACAACAATACAAAGGTAATCTTATAATCATATTGCGATACATCAGGTGAAGAATCTAAAGTTGTCATTCAGTTTTCTTAGGTGTTAGAAACTCCAACCAAAACATTGTCTATATGTTATTTGGGTTCTTTTTCATATTGGTGTCAAGAGATCCAGGATTTAATTATATAAAAGTTAATCAGTATGGCCTAATGCCATTGTATTTGAGCCACTATTATTGGCAATAAACACTTGAAATGTGTAATATTGTATTGATTGAGTCTTGGTATTGACCATGTATGCATTTAGAATTTCTTATTAGCTGCTGTTGTTGTCTGACAGGAATAGCAGCTACATCTTTTCCCTGAGGTCTTTATTCCTTATGGGTCAGCAAACCTGTGGTTGAGAATATCTTCATTCACAGCCCCAGAAGTACCAGTTGTGATATTTTTAATTATACAGATATGAGAAGTGGCTCCAAACCTATTCTCCTCCTCCTTCAAGAAACCATACCTAAGATAGATTTTTATTAAACTCTTCCTGCTAAGAATCACTGGCTGATCACTGAGCTGAGAAGCTTTGGCTCAAAAATTCTCCCCCTTTATTAATTACATTTTTTATTCATTTCACTCAGAGGAATTCTTTGACATAAAAATCTTCAACCCATGCCTATTATATAGATAGAACAGATAAGAGGACTGTGGGGAGTTCAAGGTGACTGGCTAAGCTGAGACAGAGTTGGAGGCAAATAATTATGGGCTAGTTGGTGAAAAATAAGCTTGCCATAAAAACATACACAGGTTGTGCTTAAGTTTTGGACAAGGTTTATCACAAAGTTTGCATTGTTTGAACACATGCAGCAGCAGACAACTCTACTGGAAACCATAACTAAATCCTTGCAGGGGTCGGGATGGGTTTGGGTTAGCATTGTATCTTTTCCCCTAGAAACTTTGAAAACTATTGAAAGCCTAATTCTTCTTTCCCTAACACAAGAAACCTATGAAATGCCTGCATTTCAAATGTTCAGATCTGTATTACTTCATTTAGAAGATAGAGTAGACATACAATAATTGAAATATAATATATATGTAAGTTAGATTTAATTTATATTTTCAGGCTAGCTCCTAAATGTTTTAAGCCCACAAATAGATTAAGAGTTTTACACTTATTTTTCTGTATCCACAGGTTCCACATCTGAGGGTTCAACTGCAATGCTTTGGGGGGAAGGGGAACTGTGTTTGTAATGAACACATACAGACTTTTTCTTTGTCATTATTCCCTAAGCAATATGTTATGGCAACTGTTTACATAGCATTTGTACTGTATTAGGTATTAGTAGTCTAGAGATGATTCAAAACTATGCAGGAAGATAGGAATAAGTTGCAGGCAAATACTACACGGTTTATATAAGGGACTTGAGCATGTACAGAGTTTGATAACTGCAGAGAACTGACACCCCACAGGTACTGAAGGACTGGATGACTGCTAATTATATAACCTCAAGCCTGAAAGGAAATAGCCATTGGTAAAGCTGGGAAGGTGCTGGGAAGATGGAATTTAGGGACCAAAATGGGAGATGGAAGGTGGTCTTTGGTGCCTGAGGAGTGGGAGCTGGTGGAGACTGACTACCAACAGCTTCTGAAGTGAGGTTGGGAGATGGCCTGTGGGCAAGCAGAGAAAGATCAGTGGGGGCTACACTGGCGACCTGGGCCTTGCCTGTAGTAGTTGAGAAGTCCATGTTTGACTTATCTATAGGAAAAAAAATGACCAGAGAGTATTACACTATAAATCCTTTAAAACCTATGGTAAACTCTTTAAAGAACTACTGCAGAAACGAGTATTGAGTTTCAATCTCTTAACATTTACCCCCCCCATCAAGTTGCCCACTGATAAAATGGAAGGGCATGGTGAGGAGGCAGTGTGGCACAGTGCAAACCACAGACTCACCTGGCTTAGACATCTGCCATCTCTGTCCATTGTAATCATATGGTTGGTGTCTTTAATTACCTAACAAAGTGCAAGAGCTTCAAGCACATAGTAAGCTTCTAATAAATACTTGTTGTTAATGAGTGGACTTTAAAGAAAATTTCTCCTAGAGTTAAAATTATAGCTAGATGCCTTGCAATGTCCATTTTATTACTTTAATGTAAACGATGATTGAATGTAGCTTTTAAGAGAGTACTTTCATTTTCCGACAGAAGACTTAAGAGTAACTTTAGGGCTCCTCTGAGAACAGGAAAGTCATGTAGAAAAGGCTTTCAGAGAGATCAAGGTAAAGCCTGTTAATGTAACTCTGTGACCTCACACTCTAGTGCACAGGAGAAAGCAGGGCTGGAGGACTCGACACTTCCAGATCTTTCTACTGAAGAAAGAAATTTTAATGGCAAGAGAGACGGTACTTCCAGAAGTGGAAACAAAGTGTCTTGAGGAAATGTCTTTACATTAAAAAATAGGCACTCCCATTGTCCTTTGTCGTCCTGACCTTATGCATTCCTTAAATGTCTATCCTGACATCAGCGTTCACGATTTGTGGCTGCAAAACTGAGGTGAATGCTAGCAATATTGGTGGAGATTCCTTGGGTTCACCTTTACTTCTTCTGCCTTTGTCACTCCAACATAACACAATTGTTATAAACATAATCCAATTAAGCACTAGAAAAAACTATGTCTTTCATCAGTCATTAGCCAAAAGTCATGTACTAGCCAACAAACAGAGATTGAGAAGGACGATTATGTTAACAAGAGCTTCAATTCCAAGGGGAGCTACTTGTGCAGTCTCCAATGTGAGAGAGGTGTGAAAGATTTTTAGTGGCTGATACATTTCTGTCATTTCTTGCCTCATTAGACAGCTTTCTCTATTCCCACCC